GTTTCAAATAACAAGACTTATTCTATCACAGTTATGAAGGGTAGAAGTCTGAAACCAAGGTGTTATCAGGACTAGCCTCCCTCTGAAAACTTTAGAGAAGACTCTTTCCTTACCTCCTCCTTGCTTCTGGTGGGTTGCTGGCAATTTGTCATCACTGGCTACAGCTACACTTCTCCAGTTTCTTCCTGAGTCTTCGCATGGCTGTCTTACCTCTGTGTCTCTGTGTCCAAATTTCCCTCTTTTTATACGGACACCAGTCATTGGATTAAGGCCCACTCTAATCCTTATCTTAACATGATTACATCTACAGAGGCCCTAATCCCAAATAAGGTCACATATACAGGTACTGAAAGTTAGGACTTAAACATATTTTGGGGGGAGAAGGGTTGTGGTACACAGTTCAAGTATGACAGTGGCCTAGAGGAAAAGATGAACTGGTGAACCACTTTCCAATCTCTCTCTGCCTAGCTGTTAAGATACTCTATCACAAGTAATGGTGAATAGGAAGGCCTTTTGAAGGGTTTTTTTTTTTTTTTTGAAGGTTTTAGAGAACTAAGCCTTTATTTCTCACATTGTTTCTAGATTAACTGGATTTAACACCAGGCAACTCTGACTGATAAAGGAACTTTTGGAAGTTAACCTACCTCTAAGACATAACTGCTTATACCTCAGGGAAATTTACCCCACTCAAATAATGTTGCAAGTTTTTTTTAAAGTAGTATGTGTCACATTTCATAATAATATTAACTCTGATGGTTAAATAAAATAAAAGTAGGCATATTAAAATTAATATAAGCACCTCTAAAACTCCATGCCTATTAAATATGCTTAGCATAAAACAATAAAGATTTCCTTTTTCTACTTGGGTCACTGTCATCTGACTGTGGTTTCTGCTCTTGGCATTTTCCATCTTGGTCTTTGCTCATCTGACCACACTTTATTAAAGTGTGCACTTTGTTAAGTCAGCCATGATTTAATAAAAGAACAGTGGCCTTAGAATCCGAACTTTAGCTCTGTATTTTATTAACTTTGTTATCTTGGGCAAGTCACCAAAAAAAAAAAAAAAAAAAAAAAAAAAAAAAAAAAAAAAAAAGTTACTGAGTTTACTTCAATGTTTTCACCTGTACTGTGATTGATATTAACCCTTTCCCTGCGTGGTTATGCGAATCCTATAAAGTCACTTAATATTTGAGTGTGTGTCATATGCCAGGATTGTTATAAGTGCATGAGATGTATCAGTGACACCCGACAAAGATTTGTCTTCATGGAGCTTTTATCCTAGGAGATAAAAATCGTATACATTATAAAATGCTTTACAAAGGTAAGGTATTATCATCATTGCTATCTTGCCAGCAGCAGCTCTAATTTTTCAAGTGTCTTTAAAACTCTTATTATGCGTATCTCCTAGATATCAAGTACACAAAAAGAAAATGTAAGAAATGAAGTATTTACCCATTAGAAGTTTAACTACAAATATAAACTGGATGGTAAATATCGAAAATGTTTCTTTATTGCATTTAAAAGTAATCCTTGGACCCCTAGTATATGTTGTGAATGAGGCTTTGTGTGGAATGTGAAAATAGGCATTAATCCTGTCTTCAAGGAATTTATAGAGTCCAGTGAAACACATGCCCACAAAATACCTGCAGTATTGGGGGGAGGGTGCCTGGGTGGCTCAATAAGGGTCTGATTCTTGGTTTCAGCTCAAGCCATGATCTCATTGTTCCATGGGTTTGAGCCCTGTGTCGGGCTCTGCACTGACAGCGTGGAGCCTGCTTGGGATTCTCTCTCCCTCTCTGTCTGCCCCTTCCCCATTTGCACTGTCTCTGTCTCTCTCGAAAAACATAACAAAACAAAAACAGACAAGCAAACAAACAAACAAACAAAACCCTGCACTGTGAGGATAGAAAGTGAATAGTGCCCAAATGTGAGGCACCAAAAAATTGATTGAAAGCTTCAAAAGACGACCCCAAACACCTGCAACACTGTAATGTCTTATTGACATTTTCTATATGTAAAATATTTACCTTCCACTGTTGTGAGGGACATAGCACTCCTAGTACCTGTTTCAATTACCTACTTACTGCGATTTCATTTTACACGTTGAATGTAGATGTTGACATCTGTGGTATGCTGGTACAGTGTTTGTGCCGTACTCTCACTCTGTAGTAGACATATATTGCCTAAGAGCCTACATGATATTTCAGAACAGCATCCGAGCATCCAGAAGGTTATACCTCATTGTCAAAATTGGAGGCCTGTACCTGACTATTTAAAGAAATTTTTTTAACATTTATTCATTTTTGAGAGACAGAGTGTGAGCAGGGGAGGGGCAGAAAGAGAGAGGGAGACACAGAATGTGAAGCAGGCTCCAGGCTCCCAGCTGTCAGCCCAGAGCCCAACGCGGGGCTTGAACCCATGAACTGTGAGATCATGACCTGAGCCGAAGTCGGACGCTTAACAGACTGAGCCACCCAGGCGCCCCTGTACCTGACTATTTAAAGCCATGTATATATATTTGGGTGTTGGCAGAGAAGACACTGTTATAAGAGCCTGTCTCATCTTAATTAGAAGTTTCTAATTCATGAAGTATTGAAATGTGAAGTACATTTATTTTCAGTTTATGTTACAGTGATTGGGCTCCTAATTGGTCCACCAAACCCATTGATTAAAAAACACATTTTGATGTCACTGGAGAGTAAAGGGTGTTAGTAACACATCTCTTCTATTGATCCAGTTGCTAGAAAAGTTTTCCTTTTTCCTTCTTTTCCCCTTTTGGTGATATCACTTTTTCCCCAAAATATGTGCCAAGAAATTCCCATTTCAGAACTTTGGAGGGCTGTTCTTCTTGGCTAGAGTGTTTTTACTCCAGGTAATTGCTTGACTTGGTCCCTGAGTTCATTCGTGTTTTTAAAGAGCATTCCTCGACACCGTACCTAAAGTAGCACCTGTCTCCCATCACTCCTTATCCTAAACTTTTTTCCCAGTAGCACTTACCACTTACCAGTGTCTTAGTTCCCCTGTAAGAATATAAGCGCCATGATAGTGGAAATGTTGCCAGTTTTGTTGACCATTATACCCCCAGTGGTTAGGACAGTCTATCCCTAGTGCTTACTTCCTGGTACATGGTAAATGTTCAATAGATATTTATTGTTTAGATGAATCCAGTTTCCAGGCTGGGGGTGCTCCTGAGAAAGCTTGAGTAAGGGGGCCCCAGTGGGGATGGGTGAGGGAATAAGTGGAATAGCTGGAGGGCTAGCAGAGGATTAGGATACCATGGGGGATTTCTGGCAGGGCTCTGACAGCAGTGGGAATTGAGTTCCCGAGGTTTTTGGACAAGTCCCTGTAGGATTTTGTTTCATAAAAAAGAGGCCAGTGCCCCTGCCTGGCTGTGGGATCCAAGACACCATTGGTGGTGGGTGCATCTGCTCAAGAGGAAGGAGGGTGGAGAGAGTAAGGGGCAGCAAGACTCAGTTGACTCGAGATGAAGATGTGACAAATGTCTTTAGGGTGGTAAGCCAGAGAGGAAGATTAATCCTAGTAGCAGCCTGGACAGAAGGTGAGTTTTTCTTCTCATGTCTATTAAAAAGATGAGTTCCCAATTTTGGTAGCCCTTTTCATGTTAGAAACATTTTTTAAGGTCAATTTTTCTAAGTTGAAAATTACCCGTATTTGTAAAAATAATGGTAGGATCAACAACGACAATAACACATTGACATAGGCACCTTCAGTTTTCAAAGTGTATTTAAATACATTATCTCACTGATTTGATCCTTACTTTATTTTTACATTTAAGTATTCTGTGTATTATACTTTGAGTTTGTTTTCTAGGAATAGGGATGAATGTTTAGCATATGTATTAGTATAAAATACTGGTTGCATCCACAATTTAATATGTTCAAATATACAGATATGGCCACCTTGATCCAAAAGATGAAATTGGGTTTCTTGTGATAAAAACCAACCCTGTTTTCTTCTTATCAAGAATAATTCTGGAACTTTATATATATAATTTCCTTAAAAGCTGGGATTGTGTTTTATTTGTCAGTCAATAAGGAGAATTAGGTTAAGATTACTTATAAAATGTTTTAACTGCATGAATTTCTTGTATTTCTATTACCCAGTGTCTTACATATAAATTGACAAACCTTGACTAACTGCCTTCAATATATCATGCTTGGTTCTGGGAAATGCAGTGATCTCCCTCCAACCCAAGCACGCATGTACACACACACACACACACACACACACACACTTTCCCTGGCCTTAAGACCCTTCTGTTGGGTAAACATACAGTTGTGCGATATGTTACAGGTGCCTTGTCAGAAGGGTACAGTGGAAAGAGGAGGCACAGGGGCGGGAGTGGTCTGTGTTACCTGCTTGATGGGGAACCTGTTTTCAAGTCTCCATGACAAAAGTCATTCTTAAGCTGAGTTTTGAAAGATTATCATTTGAAACCAAGTGAATAACATCTTAAAACTGTAACTTTCCTACATGCACTTTAGGATATTAACAGCTAATCCTTTCCCTTGAGTAGCCTCTTCACTGGCTGAAATGTATCTCCTCAGTTTCAGAGACATCAAGATTGTTATAGTTTTCTTATTATGCATTGTGTCTGTTCTGTGTTGAAGTACCTGTAGGAAGAAAATTAAGTGCAGGTTTTGTGTGTGGGTTGAGAGCTGATCGAATTGAAGGTGTGTCAAGAACCAACCAGCAGTGTCCCCACATCATCCGAGTCCCTGGTATTCTTTTTTTCCAGGCTTTCTGCATTGTAACCGGTCCCGATGGTAATTGGTTGAATCAGATTTAACAATGCAGTCAGATAAACAGTTGTGGCAGCTGCTGCCATGGCAACGTCACCGTCCTTACCCTCCCAGCGCGCGCCCCTTCCCCACCCCTCCTCCTCCTCCTGCTTTCCTCCAGTAAGTGCATACTCGCTAGTGGTCTGTGCAGGCAGCAGGGTTTAATGGCAGAGCTATTTTCTTTCCAAACTGTTCAAAATGATGAACGAAGATGCAGCTCAGAAAAGCGACAGCGGAGAGAAGTTCAATGGCAGTAGTCAGAGAAGAAAAAGACCCAAAAAGGTAAATTGGCAGAATTAAGAATGTCTGTATCTCGATATGTGTGTTTATGTGTTAGTGTGTAATCTCAGTGAGATTATGGAACCCGTAGAGCCTTACGAGTGACTGTAGACTGTAGCAGTGCCAAACATTGCTTTTTAAAGAGGCAGGTGCACACTGCTGCTTTCTGAGAATAGGAAAGGAACCCGGGTTCATAATGGATTCATTGACTAGAGCACGGTGAAGTGAGCAGAGATAAGGTGTGTTCTGTATGTGGATTGTTGAGGATTGTGGCCACCGATGGATGCTTCTGGTGTGAACTGGGTATAGAGAGAGTCATTTTATTTTTAGAATGGGTGAGTTTAAAAGGAAATGTTAAGCAAGGTGGATTGTGAAGCAAAACGAAGATTGTGGCCAGATGTTTGCTCGGGGATGATCTTGAGACAGCTAGACAGCAAACGCCTTTTGGTTCCGTGCTAAGTGTATTCTTCCTGAGGAGAAAAGACTGTTGTGACAGGAGAAATATGATCCCCAGCATGGTATTTCTTTGGTTTGCTTAGCTTCTCTACAGTTTTCTCAGACATTATAGTGTGATGCCTCTTTCATTGATTAAGATAAACAGCTAAAGATATTATGGGTCGGGGGTGTTGGGCACACAAAGCCGTGTGTAGGTTTTTTTAGCCTGGCATACATTCCCACACCCTTGATTTTCATGGAAACGATACCAGTGAGAAACAGTGGGAAAAGATGCAAACTATTCAGCCCCACCCAATGCTAGCACTTCTTTCTTTATGGCCTGACTCCTTCTGGTAAACTGTTGCAGCCTCACAGAGCCATGTGAGCCCCACCTCTGACAGAGATGTCTCTTAAATAAATTCTCCTAAAATCCGTTTATTTCTTGAGGCAGTAAGACGGGCAGAATGTAACATGATTCTAATGTAAATGCATTCCAACGTTAGACGGTTTGCATTTTGAATGAGCAGGTTGAAAAAATTACCATGAACAAATGAATGTTTTTCATTTTGACAATTTTGAAATTGCATTGCACTTCAAAATTATAGGTCTCTGGTACTAAATGTCTCATAATCTAAAGAATTAGAAATGATTTGAAAGCAAACCTCTGATATTTAAAAGATCATTGTATTAGCAAATAGGGGTTAGTAAATTTGTATGGTGCCGCGTAATTTGATAAAGATAAGCATGCCCACATATGAGTTAAAAAAAAATAATAGTGTAAAGATAGTGGTGCAGTCTGATAAAGGCAAAGGATAATTCAGGGTAGGCAGGAACATTGGTAGAAAATCCTTTTGTACCTAAGGATTCTGGATCCTCCAGCCCTCGATGGCATTTTTGCAGAGTGTTAGCTAATTAATTGGTTAACCTTTAAAAAGAGAAAAAACAAATAGAAAAGAAAAAACAAATAGAAAAGAAAAAGAGAGCAAGTGATAGGGAAAAAGAAAGAAGGAATTTTTGTTTGAATTCACAGTATCATTTCAAATTCGTCTTAATTTCTCTCTGAAGTCCCTGTGCTGCATTGGAAACATTATACTCAGAACTACTAAAGGGGTGGAGAATCTGTATCACGAAGATTTCATAAGCTCCGAGGGTTGATACTAAATTCACATGGCCAAAGCCATCTTAAAGTATTTGAGGGGGCAGAGAAGATGAAATCATCATATGTGAGAACTATAATATTTTTTCAGCTCTATTTTCTCAAATATGTTTATTTAGGAATAAAGTCTTTTCAAACTTGTATTCAAAATGATAGCAATTGATTGTAAGCTTTGCATATGTGTGTGTATTTTTACATACATTCAGAAGCATATATTAAATGAGCTATGAAAACACAGTGAATATTGAGGGTTAGGAGTAATTGCACCTAATAGGAAAACATCCACACACATGCATGCACAAGTAACCAACCTTTAGTTTGTCAAATCAGACATAAATGGGTTTGAATCTTAGCTCTATCTCTGAATATAGTGTGTTTGCAGCATATGGTTTAATTTCTCTGACTTAGGTTCTCATCTACAAGGTGAATGATTCTATACACCTATTGGTATTTTGTGAGGATTAGAAATAACGGGCATCAAATTCTTTGGGCAGTATTTAATATATAGTTCATGGCAATGACTTTTAGGTGTTGTTACAATTCCCTTGAATGGAAATTACTTATTAGAATAAGCCCTATAGAAGCAAAGTCTGTTTATATTCTTAAGAGAGGCAGAATATAATATTGGTACTTCACAAAGGCTAGTATTCATTTCTCAAAAGGCCAGAAGTTATATACTATAATTGAAAACTTGTGATCTCATACAAATTATTGAGATCCACATAAATGTACCTCAGGTCTTTAGATTACTGCTTCACGTCTTTTTTCATAGCAGGCGACTTAAATTTTCATATTTAGAAACTAGACCATTAAATGTGCTTTGATGAGGAAATAATAATCAAGAGATAAGCATCCCTAATAAGGATAAAATCTGAGAAAAGCAAGAACTGGAGCAAAGTCAGTGTCATATCACTTCAATTCAATTGTCTGTTTTTTTACTAGAGGTTCACATTGAATGCATGGTAGGATTCTGTGTGAGCATCCAGGACTGTGGACCACCAAGCTCACTGTGGCCCAGGTGCTGATCCAATAGGATGAATCATATTCCTTGAAAACATGCCTCCTCCTCTAGTAAATATTTAACAGATGAGCCGTAATACACTTGTTTATTCCACATCTCATAAAAGTGGTTCTTCTCAGGGACAGAATGAAAGGGTCTTTTGCCACAAAACCCACAATGTGGAAAAATAAGCAAAGGAATTTATTTTATATTAGAGTTTTAGTGAGTACCTTGAAAATAGAAATGATCCTACCTTTAGTAAAGAAAAAAAATTCTATTCTGTTTTTAATAATTGAGCATCTCATTGCCCTCCATGCAAAGACCACTAAGAACACACCTGTGATTGGGGGCGCCTGGGTGGCTCAGTCGGTTGAGCGCCCGACTTCAGTTCAGGTCATGATCTCATGGTTCGTGGGTTTGAGCCCTGTGTCTGGCTCTGTGCTGACAGCTCAGAGCCTGTAGCCTGCTTCGGATTCTGTGTCTTCCTCTCTCTCTCTGCCCCTCCCCTGGTGGAGAGAGAGATCTCAAAAATAAGTAAACATTAAAAAAAAATTAGGGGCGCCTGGGTGGCTCAGTCGGTTAAGCGTCCGACTTCAGCTCAGGTCATGATCTCACAGTTCGTGAGTTTGAGCCTGGTGTTGGGCTCTGTGCTGACAGCTCGGAGCCTGGAGCCTGCTTCAGATTCTGTGTCTCCTCTCTCTGCCCCTCCCCAACCTGTGCTCTGTCTCTGCCTCTCAAAAATAAGTAAATGTAAAGAAAAAAATTTTTTTTAATTAAAAAAATAAAAATAGAAAAGAACACACCTGTGATTGAATGTGTCGGGGTTACAACTCATTGCAGTGAGGGAGGATGTACATTGTGAGGAGCTGAGTTAGCAAGGACTCCTAGGATTTGGGCTTTGGATGAGTGATTTGGGGGAGGGTCCAAGAAAGTGGGAGCTCATTCTGGATTGAGTGCTGTCAGAAAGCAGGGACAGTTCTATGATTGTTTATCCCAAGAAATCTTAGCTCTAAGAATGCAGACTAAAGCTATAGTTGGGAAAGAAAGAAAGAAAGAAAGCAAGCAAGCAAGCAAGCGGAGGGAGGGAGGGAAGGAAGGAAGGAAAAGGAAGAAAGCAAGCAGGAAAGCAAGAAAGCAAGCAAGCAAGCAAGCAAGCAAGAAAAGAAAGAAAGAAAGAAAAAAAAAAACTCCCAGCAATCTCTCATTTAGTAAGAAAGGGGCCTATCTGGTATTTTGTGGCTTGGACACAATGTTTGTGTTTTGTCTGTATTCAAACATGATAAGGGACTGGTGCTGTTTTTGCCCTGCTCCATCTTAGTCCCAGAGTGGCCTGGTCTGATGATGATGCTCTGGGAAATTGTTTATGTTCAGCAAAACACAAAGGCCAAGTTGATAGTACCCGGTTCACTCCTGGGTGCCAGTGACTGCTTTTCTCTTTCTCAAGCTTGAACACAAAGATTCTTTTGGAGAGACAGAGATTTATTATTGGATGCTCTTTAGTGTTCAAGGAAAATAAATCAGATATTGTTGCTAAAGTATTCATAGAAATCTTTCTCATGTAATACTTCAGCAAATAGTTTACTTAAGGCCCAGTTATTTCACGCAAACAAATATTACCCGAGGTACAGATCTGGGGTTGATATTCTAGTGGTTATTCAGTGGAAAAGAGGAAATGGGAAATACTCTAATTCCCAGCGGGAATCTTGGACTAAAAGGAAGTACAGAGACCCATACTGTATCACTGTAGGGGAGTGTTTAGCCTATTCTAATCCCAGACAACTCGATAAATATTTTATTCCAGACAATATTTTGGCAGATTAGATTAAAATAATTCAAGACCATGTTAGTGTGCAGCACCTCACATTTCCCAATTTTGTGTCAGTGACAAGGCTGTAGGAGCCTCTGATAATTTACATAAATGAAAATGGAAATGCCCAAGCATCAATCACACATGACAGAGCCATCTGAAACCATGAGGCTTTGTGAGTTCTTCTAAAACAAGTAAACAACCAAATGACTTAATAACTATTCACTCATTTGGTGGAATACCTATATAAAGATTAAAATATAAATCCTACTGTTTTCAATCGAGTAGTAGGATAAAATGGCTTTGCGGCATATTTTATATTCATTTATAATGTTTTGTTCTGGACCATTATTTTAAAATATTCATGAGCGTTGCAAAATTTTTTGGTTATATATATTTTTATTGCTGTTTACTTGCCACTGCCTAAATAGGGAGATGGAAGTGATACCAGATGTGTGATTGAAATGTTGCACCATTGAAATGTGAATGAGAGACACAGAAAAAAAGGTTAATTTTCCAGCAGCCACAGAACGTATGGCTTTTCTAGTACAATCAGGTAGCAGAGCCAATGTTTGGGTGTTCAAATCTTCTTGCAGGCAAATTAG